AAGGGGCTGAAGTTTGGAGATCACTGGACTAGGATAAGACTACTAGACTCTAAAACTAGGGCAGAACCACCTTATGGAATTGGCCTCATAGAGAACCTGTCATGGTTGGAATGGAGGAGCTGCTCTGGGAATGTGGATTTCAGAGGGGAACCTTCCAGGGTTTTTTTCCATTTAAAAAAAAATGTGATTGAAGTTTCTAGGGAAAGTGTGGAATTGTGTCAGAGAAGGCGATCACTTCTCACAGATCTGACACTCAAGGAAGGTGTGACCATATCACTGATACAGATCGGTAAATAAAAGGCATGGCCATTGGCAGTACCTATGGCAGTGCCTCCAATGCTTCAGATTTGGCCCAAACTTTATTAGATGGCCTAATATCCTTTACAATGCACCACGCGCCAAAGTGTTTTTTGAACGGGTGGACCTCTGAGGCGTTCCCCCTATCCCGGGGAATGCACCAAGGCTTCCCTCTTTCACCCTTCTATATGCACTTGCGGTTGAACCCTTGGCTATGCCGCTGCATTCCAGATGTAAGAGGCCTAACCGCGGGTTCATTGACCGAGAAGGCAGGACTATATGCAGATGCAATGCTTCTTTACCTGGCGGACTCTGGCGTGTCATTACTATCTGCCCTCCGCAGAATTGAAAAATGATGGCAGTATTTGGGTGTTAAAATGAATTGGGACAAATTGCAAATTCTGCCCATTGATGTATTTCCACCATCAGCAGAACAGATGGATCTGCCACTGGTTTGGGTTAACTCCTGCAAATACCTTGGTGTACAGGTCTCTAGGTCTCTCCACAATTACCTCGGATTGAATGTGGAGCCTCTCTCATCCCCCTGATCAACATTAAAACCCAAGTATGGGCAAAATTACCCCTGGGAGTTATGGGCCAGATAGGTTTCATAGTCAAACACAAAAGTCCATCCAGTTCAACCATAAAAAGATATATATATATATATATTCTCCTACACCCACAGTTGATCCAGATGAAGGCAAAAAACCCGGCAAAGCACGATCCAATCTGCTCCTGCAGGGGAAAATATTCCTTCCTGGTCCCCCGAGAGGCAATCGGATATTCCCTGGATCAGGTCTCATGAAAATGATCTTACTCCCCAAAATGTCGTTGTCCTTTGACACTCCCCAATTTATATTCCTCTTCGATACTTCAACATTATTGACTCTCTCCTGCAATCATTTGTCTGGGGAAGCAGTCGTCATAAACTGTCCTGGAGAGCTTTGAAGAATTCTATTATCTTGGGGGGGGGGGGTGCTGTGCTCCCCGAACTGGGCCTATACTATCTAGCAATTATCTCACCTCTATCATTTTGATAAATCTGATCTGGTTTGTGGCCCTCCATGTTCAGCTTTTCCGCACCCTTTTTGTGATATTTTGAGAGGACTCCAAGGATCTGATCCAAGGATCTTTTGGACCTTTGTAAGGTCCAACACTCAATCCTTGGTTTACCATAGTGCCACTCCCTGATGGTATAACCAAACACTACGTGAGTTTATGGCCGATCCCTGATCCTCAGGGGTGGATCTCCAAGGGAAACATATATGATATCTCATGTACTTAGGGGTGGATCACTCAAAACATTCGATCTACTGAAAGCTGAATTCCGTCTACCGAATTATATGCTGTTTCGAGAACTTTGGCATGCCCTTCAAACTGGGAGGTTTCCCTACGTCACGGGTGTCAAACTGGCGGCCCTCCAGCTGTTGTCAAACTACAAGTCCCATGGGGCATTGCAAGACTGACAGTTACAAGCATGACTCCCAAAGGCAGAGGCATGATGGGACTGGAGGGCTGCCAGTTTGACACCCCTGTGCCCTACGATGTCCCTGCTTGAGACTCCAGAAGTGATTTATGGTGACGAATCTGCCAAACCGATCTCTACCTTTTATGATCTATTGCTGTCCCCAGCTGCATCTCAGTTGACATACTCACTTTAATTGCCTTGGGAAGAGGATCATGGGGTGGTTATTATACAGGTTCATATAGCACCAACAGTCTGCACAGCGCTGTACAATATAAGGGGGGCGGTACAATTACAATACATTTCAGCACAAAAGGAATCGGAGGGCCCTGACCATGAAGCTTACAATCTAAAGGGGGGTGGTACAAAAGGCGATATTCTGGTGGACGTGGCCCAAGTACAGTTCTTAGGTGGGGGTGGGGTAGGCTTCCCTGAATAAGTGAGTTTGCAAAGATCACCTGAAGGCAGACGGGTGGGGGCTGACCAGACACACTGGGGTAGGGAGTTCCAGAGGACAGGAGAGGCTCTGGAGAAGTCCTGGAGGCGAGCGCGGGAGGAGGTGATGAGGGAGCTAGAGAGGAAGATGTCTTGAGAGGAATGGAGCTGGCGATTTGGCGATAGTGTTGTGGCGGCCTTTTGTGGACGGCCTTGCGATAGTGTTGTGGACCTTGAGTGTTGTGGAGGGCCTTGAGTGTTGTGGAGGGCGTGTCGTGGACTTGCGTGTCGTGGAGGGCCTTGCGTGTCTTGGAGGGCCTTTGTGTGTCGTGGAGGGCCTTTGTGTGTTGGAGGGCCTTTGTGTGTCGTGGAGGGCCTTGAGTGTTGTGGAGGGCCTTGTGCCTTGAGTGTCGTGGAGGGCCTTGCGTGTCGTGGAGGGCCTTTGTGTGTCGTGGAGGGCCTTTGTGTGTCGTGGAGGGCCTTTGTGTGTCGTGGAGGGCCTTTGTGTGTCGTGGAGGGCCTTGCGTGTGTATCGTGGAGAGCCTTGCGTGTCGTGGAGGGCCTTGAGTGTTGTGGACGGCCTTGCGTGTTGTGGTTAGTATTTAGAATTTTCTACGTTGGGTGATCGAGGATGAGGACTGGGGTGAAATACTAGAGGCCTATACAGGGGTATCCCCCAAGGTATGGGGCCGCCTTACCCAACTATACATTATTCATAGGGCATACCTTCCCCCAATACTCTTGGCTAAACTCCGCCCGTCTCGTAGTGTATGGTGGCCCAAATGTCTGATTGCTCCGGGCACATTTAGTCGCTTATTCTGGCAATGTCCTCAGATTCAGGGTTTCTGGAAACAAGTGGTTCAATGTCTTCACGATCACATGGGTTCCCCGCTACAACTACACCCCAAGCAATGGCTTTTGGGCTTTTTCCCGGACTCTGATCTGGATGAACACGCTATAACATCTCTACAATAACCTTTGCAGCCAAGAAGTTGATCGCTAGAGGGTGGTTGCAGGCCGAGCCTCTCACTGGACAGGCTTGGATGTCTGAAATCAATCCTACTTCACCCTAGCAGAAATTTCTCCCCATTAACAGAGTTTGCCCGAACAATTACTGCAAGATCTGGGATAGGCGGTTGTAGGCCGATACCACACCTACCTCATAAAGTGTACATGTTGGGGGGAGATTTACTACAACTGGAGAGGGCGGAACCTGCGGCAGCTCTGCATGGCAGCCAATCAGCTTCTACCTTCAGCTTCTTCAATGAAGCTTTGACATAACCTGGAAGCTGATTGGCTGCCATGCACAGCTGCCCCAGGTTCCGCCCTCTCCAGTTGTAGTAAATCTCCCCCGTAGTTTTGCATCTTTCTTTGTGTCCTACAACTTCCTGTGAAGGTATTTCTGATCCAGTGATTGGGGTTTCCTCCCATCAGGGGATCCTCAGGGGTGTGCACCATGCACAGGGTATTGCTGTGTGTTTGGGTTCTGGTGGGTTTCTGTCCTATTCTATATACTTGCTGTTATTGGGACAGGAGCTGCCACGCCTTGTTTGAGGCTTTTTTTCTTTTTTTATTCTCTGCTGGGGAGGGGGGGGGGGAATGGATGGAGAGATTAATGGATGGAGGGGGTTGGATGGATGGAAGAATGGAAAGGGATGAAAGGTTGGATGGAGACATGGTTGGAGGGATGGATGGAAGGAGAGAAGGATTGATGGAGACTTGGATGGGTGGAAAGTTGCATGGATGGAGAGATGGAAGGAGGGATGGATGGGTGGAAAGATGGATGAATGGAGAGATCGATGGAAGAAAGATGGATTGGTGGAAGGAGGGTTGGATGGAGACATGGATGGATGGATGGAAGGTTTGATGGAGACATGGATGGATGAAAGGAGAGATGGATGGATGGATGGAGACTTGGATGGATGAATGGAGAGATGGAAGGATGGAGACATGGATGGATGAAAGGAGAGATGGATGGATGGATGGAGACTTGGATGGATGAATGGAGAGATGGATGGATGGAAGGAGGGATTGATGGGGACTTGGATGAATGGAGAGATCGATGGAAGAATGGATGGAGAGATTGGTGGAAGGAAGGATGGAGACATGGATGGAAGGATGGATGGAAGGATGGAGACATGGATGGATGGATGGAGAGATGGAGAGAGAGGGATGGGAAGATGCATGGAAGGATGGGGGAGAAGGGTGGATGGATGGGAATGCAAGAAAGGATGGGGGGAGATGGATGGATGGGGAGATGGATGGGTGGTGGGGAAGGTTAGAAGAATGGAGATGGATTATTATTATTACAGTATATAGCGCCAACACTTTGCTCAGCGCTGTACATTACAATGGGAGACAGTACACAAGATAGTACAATGCAATACACGAGGGGTTCGAGGGCCCTGCTCCTTGGAGCTTACAATCTAGGAGGGAGGGGATAGTGGTATGGGAGGAATAGCTGTGGGGGATGGAGAGGTAGTAAGAGTTGAGGAGATCGGCAATTAGCAGGGGGTGGGGTAGGCTTCCCTGAAGAGATGGGTTTTCAGGGTGCGCCTAAAGGAGAGGAGAGTAGGTGATAGTCTGATGGATTGGGGTAGGGAGTTCCAGAGGATGAGGGAAGTCCTGGAGACGGGCATAGGAGGAGGAGACCAGGGAGCTAGAGAGTAGGAGGTCTTGTGAGGAGTGGAGAGTACGTTTTGGGTGGTATATAGATACCAGAACGGTGAGGTAGTTTGGGGCGGTATTATGAACAGCTTTATACGTCAGTTTTAGCATTTTGAATTTTATCCATTGGGCAATCGGAAGCCAGTGGAGGGATTGGCAGAGAGGGGTGGAGGACACTGAGTGGAGGTCAGTGGAGGGAGGGATTGGCAGAGAGGGGTGGAGGACACTGAGTGGAGGTCAGTGGAGGGATTGGCAGAGGGGGGTGGAGGACACTGAGTGGAGGCCAGTGGAGGGATTGGCAGAGGGGGGTGGAGGACAGAGAGGGGTGGATTGGCCAGTGGAGGGATTGGCAGAGAGGGGTGGAGGACACTGAGTGGAGGCCAGTGGAGGGATTGGCAGAGGGGGGTGGAGGACACTGAGTGGAGGCCAGTGGAGGGATTGGCAGAGGGGGGTGGAGGACACTGAGTGGAGGCCAGTGGAGGGATTGGCAGAGAGGGGAGGCAAATACGGAGCGGTTAGTAAGGTGAATGAGTCTGGCCGCAGAGTTCAGGATGGACTGAAGTGGGGATAGCCTGCGGTGGGGTAAGCCGGTGAGGAAGGAGTTACAGTAGTCCAGGCGTGATATAACAAGGGAGTGAATGAGTTGCTTTGTAGTTTCTAGAGTTAGTAACGGACGTATCTTGGAGATGTTGCGGAGGTGAAGTCTACATGAGTTTGTCAGCGATTGGACATGGGGCTGGAAGGACAGATTGGAGTCTAGGATGACACCTAGTACTCTGGCTTGTGGGGTGGGACTGATGGTGGCATTGTTGGTGGTGATGGAGAGGTTTGGGGGGGGGGGGGGGGCGGGCTGGGGGGAAGACTAGGAGCTCGGTTTTGGAAAGGTTCAGTTTGAGGAAGTGGAGTGACATCCAATCCGATTTGTCAAGATGAAAGGTTGGATGGAGAGATTGATGAAAGGATGGATGGAGATGGGATGGGGAGATGGGTGGATGGATGGATGGAAGGTTGGAAGGAAGGATGGGGAGATGGATGGGTGGTTGGAAGGTTAGAAGAATGGAGAGATGGATGGATGGAAGGTTGGATGGAGAGATGGATGGATGGAAGGTTGGATGGAGAGATGGATGGATGGAAGAATGGAGGATGGAAAGGATGATGGATGAGATTGATAGAAGGATGGAATGATGGAAGGATGATGGATGAAGAGATGGAAGGAGGGATGGAGACATGGATGGCTGGAAGGTTGGAAGGATGGAGAGATGGATGGAAGATTGGAAGGATGGAGAGATGGATGAAAGGTTGGATGGATGGAGGGATGGATGAAAGGATGGGGAGATGGAAGGATGGAGAGATGGATGGAAGGTTGGAATTATGGAGAGTTGGCGGGATGGATGGAAGGATGGGGAGATGGGATGGAAGGATGGAGAGGTGGATGGAGGGAGAGATGGAAGGAGGGATGGATTGGTGGAAGGATGGGGAGATGGATGAGTGGATGGAAGGATGGAAGGTTGGAAGAATGGAGAGATGGATGGATGGAAGGTTGAATGGAGGGATGGATGGGTGGAAGTATGGGAAGATGGAAGGAGGGATGGATGGAAGGATGGAGAGATGGATGGATGGAAGGTGGAATGGAGGGATGGATGGGTGGAAAGGATTTATGGGAAGATCAGGAAGGAGGGATTACGGGATGGAAGGATGGAGCAACAATACAGATCAATACAAGTGGGATAGGAGGGATGATTTTATTGGGAGCTTACAATTTATGGCGGGAGGGGGGATGATCCAGCGCTTTAAATCTAAGAGGGAGGGGCTGATCCAATGGGAGCAACAATCTAGGAGGGAGGGGCTGAATGGGACAAGAGGGATAGGAGGGCCCTGATCCTGGGAGCTTACAATCTAGGAGGGAGGGGCTGATCCTGGGAGCTTACAATCTAGGAGGGGGAGGGCCTGATCCTGGGAGCTTACAATCTAGGAGGGAGGGGCTGATCCTGGGAGCTTACAATCTAGGAGGGAGGGGCTGGGTAGATGGAAGATTTGATGGAAGGATGAGTGGATGGAGGGAGGGATGGAAGGTTAGAATTATGGAGAGATGGATGGATGGAAGATTGGATGGATGGAAGGAGGGATGGATGGAGGGATCAGGGGCGGAGTGGAAATTTTTGAAAAACGACTTGTCTGGGGACAGAATCGGGGCCCCAATCTACTTTGTCCAGATAAAAAAATTATATTTTTTTAACCCAAACCGTCTATAAATCGGAGTAGATATTAGGAATGTCGGGTTTATGGCGACTTAAACGTGTAATATTTTTATCATTGCGCTGTTTATCTCCTTTCTCCCCTCCCCCGGCTGTCTACAGCCCCCCCCTGAGGACTAGAAGGGAGGGGAGAGACCTTGCAGTGTAATGAGCACTGATTGGCTGCTCCTCAAGAAAGGGGCGTGTCCGAGTCATTTTTGCGTTTTTTTGCACAAGGTTAAATTCATTTTCGGCCTGAAGACGACACAAACCCCCCAAACATGAGATATTGTCGGAGCCGAGACCCCGGAAATTACAATGGTGGGGGTTCCAATGTTTTATGTCGCACGATGTTATCGCAAAATATCAGTAAAAATACAAGTAAGTTCATTTTAGGGCACAAAAAGCAATAAATTCCCCAATTTGTTTGTAAAATATAACAGATTGGGTTGCAGCGAGTACATAGATACCCAACATGTCCGACCTGAAATCTGCGTGTTCTCGTGGAATGGCGAGGGACTTCAGTCCCGGGATTTTCTATAGGGGACCCTTTTATAGCCCCTTCTAGGTATAGTGTATGGAGGAGGTCTGCTGCTAGAATTATCCTTCTCATCCTGGCGTGTGCGGTGATATGTGACGTGTACCGCGATCCCAATATGTGACGTGTACCGCATCCCGATATGTGACGTGTTTTTTATCGCAATCCCGATATGTGAGGGGTGTACCGCAATCCTGATATGTGACGTGTATCGCAATCCCGATATGTGACGTGTACCGCAATCCCGATATGTGACGTGTATCGCAATCCCGATATGGTGACGTGTACCGCAATCCGATATGTGTGTACCGCAATCCCGATATGTGACGTGTACCGCAATCCTGATATGTGACGTGTACCGCAATCCTGATATGTGACGTGTACCGCAATGTGATGATATGTGACGTGTACCGCAATGCTGATATGTGACGTGTACCGCAATCCTGATATGTGACGTGTACCGCGATCCTGATATGTGACGTGTACGGCGATCCTGATATGTGACGTGTATCGCAATCCCGATATGTGACGTGTACCGTAATCCCGATATGTGATGTGTATCGCAATCCTGATATGTGACGTGTACCGCAATCCCGATAAGTGACGTGTATCGCAATCCCGATATGTGACGTGTACCGTAATCCCGATATGTGATGTGTATCGCAATCCCGATATGTGACGTGTACCGCAATCCCGATATGTGACGTGTACCGCAATCCCGATATGTGACGTGTACCGCAATCCTGATATGTGACATGTATCACAATCCCGATATGTGACGTGTACCGCAATCCTGATATGTGACGTGTACCGCAATCCTGATATGTGACGTGTACCGCAATCCTGATATGTGACGTGTACCGCAATCCTGATATGTGACATGTATCACAATGATATGTGACGTGTATCGCAATCCTGATATGTGACGTGTACCGCGATCCCGATATGTGACGTGTACGCGATCCCGATATGTGACGTGTACCGCGATCCCGATATGTGACGTGTACCGCGATCCCGATATGTGACGTGTATCGCGATCCCGATATGTGACGTGTATCGCGATCCCGATATGTGACGTGTGCCGCAATCCCGATATGTGACGTGTGCCGCTATCCCGATATGTGACGTGTGCCGCAATCCCGACATGTGCCCGTGTACCGTACCGCAATCCCGACATGTGCCGTGTACCGCAATGACATGTGCCGTGTACCGCAATCCCGACATGTGACGAGTGTACCGCAATGACATGTGACGTGTGGAGTATGCAATCCTGATATGTGACGTGTATCACAATCCCGATATGTGACGTGTATCGCAATCCTGATATGTGACGTGTATCACAATCCCGATATGTGACGTGTATCGCAATCCTGATATGTGACGTGTGCCGCTATCCCGATATGTGACGTGTGCCGCAATCCCGATATGTGACGTGTGCCGCTATCCCGATATGTGACGTGTGCCGCTATCCCGATATGTGACGTGTGCCGCAATCCCGACATGTGCCGTGTACCGCAATCCCGACATGTGCCGTGTACCGCAATCCCGACATGTGCCGTGTACCGCAATCCCGACATGTGCCGTGTGCCGCAATCCCGACATGTGACGTGTATCGCAATCCCGACATGTGACGTGTATCGCAATCCCGACATGTGACGTGTATCATCGCACAATCCCGATATGTGACGTGTACCGCAATCCCGATATGTGACGTGTATCACAATCCACGTTTCCATGCGTAGGCGCCCCGGCGTGTGCTTTTACATTTGTACATACGTATATGCACATCGCACCGCATTACATTCTTAGCCGGCTTCCATGGCCAGGAATTTCTCAACGGGGACCCAGAAGTGACATCATAACGTCACTTCCAGGTCAGGACAAGAAGGGGAGGGGGGGGTGGACGTGTCCGCTCTCCTCCCTCCCCTCTAGCCAATGGTAGTGAGCCGGTCCCGGGCCGGCAGATGGGCAAGCAGAGCCCGGGAGACCTCACTTGGGGGGGTGCGGAGAGGCTGGCACCATGGGCTGTGTGGAAGTAATCAGGTCGCAGTGCTGCCCCCCGAATGCTTCCACCTGACAGGTGAGCCCTCTGCTTGCCCACAGCAGGGCTGAAGGTGGGAAAAAAAAAATACCTGTCCGGCACTACATGTCCTGGCAAAGGGTGATAGGAATCCAATGTCCGGGATGGATGGATGGAGGAGAGATGGAAGGTTGGGTGGATGGAGGGATGGATGGATGGATGGAGGGAGGGATGGTTGGATGGAGGGAGGGAGGGAAGGTTGGGTGGATGGAGGGATGGATGGATAGAGGGGATGGATGGTTGGATGGAGAGTGGATGGATGGAGGGATGGAAGGAGGGAGGGAAGGTTGGATGTAAGGAAGGATGGATGGATGAATGATGGAATGAAGGATGGAAGAATGGAGAGATGGATGGATAGATGGAGGGAGGGATGGAAGGTATGGGTGGATGGAGAGATGGATGGGTGTATGGATTGATGGATGGAATGATGGGAGGAGTATGGCAGGATGGAGGATGGATGGTTGGAGGAGGGTTGGATGGATGGAGTGATGGAAGGAAGGATGATGGTGGTGGAAGATTGGATGGAAGGAGGGAGGGAAGGTTGGATGTAAGGAAGGATGGAGAGATGGATGGAAATGATGGATGGAAGAGGGATGGAAGGTTTGATGGATGGATGGGAAGGAGGGACGGAGAGAATGTTGGATGTAAGGAAGGATGGAGAGATGGCCAGATGGATGGAAGCAAGGATGGATGGAAGATTGGATGAATGGAACGATTGAGTTGGATTCTGGATGGATGAAGTCCTGCTGGAGGGATGGAGTGATAGATTCAAGAGATTGGATGGACTGGAGCCAATGGTATTTGGATGGAGGAAGGATGGATGGGATTGGTGAATGGAAGAATGGAGAGTTGGATGGTCATGGATGAAGACGTGGATGGATGGAGTGATAGATGGTCCCTGGATGGATGGAGAGATGGAGGGATGGGCCCTGATGTCCCCTAGTGGATGATGGCGATTGGATGAATGGAACAATGAGAGTTGGATGGATGAAGACGTGGAGGGATGGAGTGATAGATGTAAGATTGGATGGATGGATGGGCCCTTTTGGATGGAAGATTGGATGATGGAAGGGAGAGATGGATGGAGTCCCCGGGCCCTTTTGGTGGAGAGATGGACGGATGGGCCCTTTTGTCCGGTTGGATGGTGGAGGGGTACGCCATTTTGTAAGAAGTATGTGAGGAGC